GGTTAGTGATTAACCAAGAAAGCATGATTAATCATGGATTAAGGAAGAATTCCAAGACCTTAACTGAGGATTAAGGCTTGGTCAAACCAAAGTCAAAGGATTAGGAAAGGTATACAGAAGTTGTAAATTAAAAGGCATAAGGGTAGTATTATATTGGGAAAGAATTGTATACTGGATATGGAATTTACCATACCCTTATTGTATGGTTGATAGGCAATTTTCTGGAAACCTAGGAGAACCTCAAGCAGGGAAAACAGGGAGGAAACATTAAGCGTGGAACTGAGGTAGCGTGAACTTGCAATTGTTTTGTTAACCTGCATTTGGTGTTTCTGTTATGTGTGTTTATGTGCCATGAGAATGTTTATGTACAGATGATGTGAACTCCTTGCAATGTATACCTTGGCTCTTGCATGATTTAATTTTGACTAGAATGATTATAGGGAGAATGACATTGAGGTCCCACAAAAGCCAAAATACAGCAAAAAGGTCCCCTGAAATGTCATAATTTTTCTAAAGTCCCAAAGGGACTTAGATGCAATTTTCAGAATCTGTAAATTACTCTCTTGCCCTGCCCTAAGCCATCAGAAACGAAGAAGCAGAATTTCATTTGGGTGAGAGTTCCCGCGCAATATGCTTGAGAAAGAAGACATTGGGAAAGAGGGAAGGAGCCATTGATGATGAAATATCCTCTCCATTACCATTAGTGAATTCCAAAGAGCTTCCATGTGAATCTCCACAAACTTTCAGGTGTGAAACTTTCTTTCCTCTTCTCTCCTACCTTTCTTGACAGATTGTGCTTTTGTTTGGAAATGGGAAATCAAAAAATCGTTTTTGTGTTTTTGGGTTGCTTGTGGGTGGTTTTGGAGATGGGATTCATAAGTTAATCAATAGAAAAGCTGTGTTTTTGGTTGGTGTGTGTTGTGATTTAAGTTGGGTGTATAGAATGATAATGGGTGCTCTGTTTTTGGGTGGTTTTCCTCTGTTCTGACGTTAGTTTAGTGGCAAAGGAAGAAAAAGATGAAGGTTAGTGAGGGTAGAAACCCTTAGCACGAAATGGGATTGTGTTGTCAATCAGGCCGCGATTGTTGTCAATGTGTGCCACTACACTTGTCAATGTAGCTCCTTAAGTTGTCAATGACAGTTGCGTGCTGGTTGATGCAGGTTTAAGTTACTGATGGCGACTACGTCTGGAAAACATCTATTTTGCTTTGTTCACATAGGGGGAAAGTTTATAAATGATGGAGAAGATAATATGAGATATGTGGGAGGTAGTGTAAGAACAACCAATGTAAAGGAGGGCACAAGTTATGAAGAATTGAAAGAAATTATATCATCAATTGCTGGAAAAGAAAGCAACTCATTTCTTCTGAAATTCTCTGTTGTGTTTGATAAAAAAACTTTTGTGGAGTTGGTAGATGATGATGGGGTGGAACATTTGATAAAGTTCAATGAAGAAAGTGGTCATGTGTATGTCGAAGAAAATGAAAATGAGGACCACATAGAAGCAACAAGAGATAATACAATGGAGGAGCAAGATGTGTAAGTATAGTTTAAGAAAACTGTTATTGTGATTTCTTAGTATGTCAGTTGTTACTGTATTGCTACCAACTTGTCAATACATGCACCCTGACTTGTCATTTTTTGCAGGATTGATCAATCATTTGGAGGTGTCAATGAATTGTCTATGTCTCCACCTACCTTATTTGATGTGATTGGAGAGCCACAATCAATTCCTTGTGCTGTTGAAATGATCCCAACACCTACACCACAAATGAATTCCACAAAATGGAAGGATTTGATTATTGGAGAAGGACAAATATTTCCAAATGCCACTACTCTCCGAAAAACATTATACAAGTACAGCTTATGCCAGAAGTTTTCGTACGTTTTCATTAAGAATAATCAGCAAAAGATCATTGTGAAGTGCAAGGTTGATGGTTGTCCATGGTATATGGGTGCATATTCAATGGGAGCACATCAAGATACTGAGTTTTTAACTATCAGAACGTACAAAAGTGAACACATTCATCATGCACAGGACAACTTAATTGTACCTCACTCAGGAAGGTCAAATTTAGCTGCTTCAATTGTGATTGATGACTTGAGGTGCAATGTTGACAAGAGTCCTAATGAAATCAGAAAGGACTTGTATAAAGAATATAGAGTGCAATTGAACTATACTCAAGCATATAGGGTTAGGAAGAGAGCACTAATGGAATTACATGGTCGAGTAGAAGATTCTTATAAGGTAATCCCTTGGATGTGTGAGAGACTCATGGAAACTGATCCTGACACAGTTGCAAGATGGGAAGGCTCAGATAGCAACCGATTTGAGAGGCTATTCATTGCATATGGATGCTCAATTAAAGGCTTTGTGGAAGGTTGCAGACCAATTATTTATATAGATGGATGTCATTTGAGTGGTCCTTACAAAGGAACTTTATTATCAGCTTGTGCATTTGATGCAGACAATGAGTTGTTTCCTTTAGCATATGGTATTGTTAGCGGGGAAATAAATGATGAATGGACTTGGTATCTACAGAATCTGAAAGAGATAACCAGATCAGCACAAGTGACAATTGTCTCAGATCGGAGTAATGCTATTATCGGTGCTGTCAAGACAGTATTTGATGGTGATAGACATGCTTTTTGCTATCGACATGTGAAAGAAAATTATAGTGCGCAGTATGTGAAAATCAATAGAGGTGTGAGACGGACCTCAGAAAATAACAAGGAGAATGCACTTAATTTACTTGATGGAATTGTATATGCAAGGCATGATAATGAGTTTAATGTTGCAATAGGAAATTTAAGATTGTTTTGTCCTCAATTGGCACAATGGGTTGAATCTCATGGGGATGTGGATAGATGGGCGCAAAGTAAATTTCCTTTTAAGAGATGGGATAACATCACCAATAATCTTGCTGAGTCTTTTAATGCATGGATGTTGAAAGAAAGGAAGCACGCCTTGCCGGTTTTGATACAAGAGCATCAAGAGAAGTTGGCCAAGAAGATGGTTGCTAACAAAATGGGGATGAAAAGCTGGAAAAATGGTGTAGGACCCAATATTGAATCAAAGTTGTCGGAACAAATAGCAAGAGGTGCGTATATGGAGGCAACATATTATGGTGATGATCATATTTCGGTGCAGACAATACATGAGGGACGCATCATCTATGTTGCTGTTGATCTGATTTCTCACAGATGCACATGTTTGGCATGGCAAATGAGTGGAATACCTTGTCCACATGCTTGTGCAGTAATCAAACTAGTTCACCATAGTGTGTATGATTATGTAGATGATTGTTACAAATTGTCCACACAAGAGAAAATATATGCAAATAGCATGAGGCCAATTGCAACACATGATTGCCCACAGCCTGATACACCTACTGTGAGTCATATGCTGACCCAAACATTCTTGCATTCACCGATAACCAAAAGGCCTCCAGGAAGGCCAAGGATTAATAGGATAGAATCTCAGTTCCAAAATAAGAAGGTTTATCATTGTGGAAGATGCAAAGAGCCTGGACACACTGCCAAGACATGCAAGAACCCAAATCCCAGCTGAGAACATATTGAAGTCAGCTATTTTTTGTATATGGATGTGAAGAGAATATTTTGTAAATGGGTGTGAAGGAAATTTTTGTAAATGGATACACACCACTGGTTAGTTTCATTATGACATGCAACCCCTATGTTTTTTTTGGGATGGGTTGTGAAATAGGTGTAGTTTCATGTATATGAAGGTGTAAATGAAAGTTGGCTATGAATTGGCATGTTACATTGTACTGTCATTTTAGTTGTCATTACCTGCACCCTAAGTTGTCACTAGACCTGTAATGACTTGTCAATCATTGCACTACGACTTGTCAATGAATTTGCTGATGTAAGTTGTCAACAACATGAATTCAAGTAACATAACCTTTTTTACCATGAAATGATATTTACAATCACTTTGTCATATTATATTTTGGTTGTATGGTCATATATAATCATTATTAATGAAGTGTCAAAAACTTACCTCTCCCTTGTCCCCTGTCAGTGGTGGCTCTGTGACAACACTGTGACATGTCAATGGAGCACTGTTGCTTGTCAATGACAAACTGTCCCTTGTCAATGGTTTATTCGGTAACTTATCAATGGAGCTCTGTGACTTGTCAATAAAGCACTGTGACTTGTTAATGGCTTCACTGTCCCTTGTCAATGGTTGCACTATGACTTGTCAATGGAGCTTGTGACTTGTCAATAAAGCACTGTGACTTGTTAATGGCTTCACTGTCCCTTGTCAATGGTTGCACTATGACCTGTCAATGGGGCACTGTGACTTGTCAATGGAGCACTGCGACTTGTTTGTGTGAACACTGTCCCTTGTCAATGGTCGCTGTCAAGAGAGCATTGTGACTTGTCAATGGAGTACCGTGACTTGTCAATGGTTGCACTATGACTTGTCAATAGGGCACCATGACTTGTCAATGGGGCACTGTGACTTGTCAATGGAGCACTGTGACTTGTTTGTGTGAACACTGTCCCTTGTTAATGGTCGCTGTCAAGAGAGCATTGTGACTTGTCAATGGAGTACCGTGACTTGTCAATGGTTGCACTATGACTTGTCAATAGGGCACCATGACCTATCAATGGGCACTGTGACTTGTCAATGGAGCACTGTGACTTGTTTGTGTGAACACTGTCCCTTGTCAATGGTCGCTGTCAAGAGAGCATTGTGACTTGTCAATGGAGTACCGCGACTTGTCAATAGTTACACTATGACTTGTCAATAGGGCACCATGACCTGTCAATGGGGCACTGTGACTTGTCAATGGAGCACTGTGACTTGTTTTGAAATTCTCATATCACTTGTCATTAACTCCTGTTATATTAGTTGTTATTTTGGATAACTGACGTTGTTAATTTAATAACCAACCATAATATCTCTGCACATATAAAATAGAAATATAATTAAAAATGTAATAAAACCCTAACAAATTAGTATTACAATGTGATGACAAAGGTAATAATATTATAAACATAACCTGATCAGTTTGTTACAAAATGACCTATTTGCTAATCATCTTAACAACACATATCATGGGCTAAGAGAACAAAAAATTCATAGACTACTCTATCTCCTCTTCTTGGTCTTATTGTAGTCCGATAGCATCGACATCACTTCACTCCCATGTTCATTACTTGGATGGGTTACCAACCACCACAAACAGCCAACCTTCAAATCTTGTAGCTCATCATTAGAGTATCGTGGCATTGTATATCCTGCATCATCCCGAACGGTGCCATCCCACTCTTGTAGCCAAGAGATAACATGAACTCCACATGAATCACTACCAAGCAAATTGAATATGTTAGCACCTTGCAATTGTTATTGTGAACAAAAACAACATAACACAATCGAACAAAACATCTACACTTACGTATCATTCTGCACATAGACTTTAGCCCATTTCACTTCGTTGTCAATTTTGTCCTCATTGACAAACAATTTTGGCTTAACAACACGTAGCATCGAATGGAAACAGTTCATCTGTAAAAAAAAAACACACGCACATAATGAACATCCAGTGACAAGGGACAGAACATCCAGTGACAACTCACAGAGCATGTAGTGACAAGGGATAGAGCATCCAGTGACAACTAACAAAGCATCCAGTGACAACTACCACAGCATGCAATGACAACTACCACAGCATCTAGTGACAACTAACAGAGCATCCCGTGACAACTAGCATAGCATGTAGTGACAAGGGACAGAGCATCCAGTGACAACTAACAGAGCATCTGGTGACAACTAACAGGGCATCCAGTGGCAACTAATATATCATCCAGTGACAAGTAACAGATCATTAAGTGACAACTAACAACTAATATATCATCCAGTGACAAGTAACAAATCATCCAGTGACACCGAGCACAACATCCAGTGACAACTACCAGAGCATGCAATGACAACTAGCACAGCATCCAGTGACAACTACGACAGCATATAGTGACAAGGGACAGAGCATACAGTGACAACTAGCATGGCATCCAGTGATAAGTAACAGATCATCCGGTGACAACTAGTACAGCATCCAGTGACAACTACCAGAGCATGTAATGAGAACTATGCAGACTGCTACTAACAATTATAATAGTCATTGACAAGTGTAAAAGCTGTAAATAACTAACAGTTTGTGTTGCCATGAACTGTTTGGGGTCGAACTGCCTTTTACTTGTCCTTTTTTCCTTCTTCTTTGCGTCATGTTGTTGCTCACCCCCCTTCTTCTTTGCTTCTTCTTCCTCGGCTTGTAATCTCATGAATGTGATGCTATCAACCAACGAGTCAAGGGCGTGGAAGGTCATGGTCTTTGTCTCAAAATCATAACAAAACCAATGATCTTCAAATAGAGTAGGACCAAAAATGAAATCGCAATCCCCGATATTGTATCCAATATATTCAGATAATATTTCTCTTTCATGGTCCTCCCATTTCCACCTTAAAGAATTCGCCACCATTTTCTGCATGAAATCTGCAGAAAATATATGACGGTTGACTCGCCCATCTTTTTCCTTTTGATCTCCAACGAATGTCTTCGCCACCATAGTCATAAACTGAAATTGCAAATACAAACAAATTACAACTACTTAGCATGCAATAACTCATTCTAATATTAACTACGTACGTGTGACTCACCCTGTCGTTTATCCATCTTCTACGTTGGAGACATTGCAACTCACCACGGGTTAGGAAGTATCCATACATCGATACAAAGTATCTAACACAAATGAAACAATTATGAAGTTAGTAAATTCAGTAAATTCTGTAACATAATACAAAATTGGTCACCAAAACATAATACTTACTGCTCTTGCTCCTCTTGGTTACACCTTGCTGTACACATGTCAAATAAAGCTTGCCTGTCATCAATTGTTCTCTTTTTCCCAGCCTTGCTTTTAAATTCCAGAAATGGAGACCTAAGAGCTTTCCCCTTCCTTATCACCCTTGTAGATTTCCTCACATGTTCGCTCCCTTCCCCTTGGGTGGCCTCATCCACTTCTTTGTCCTCTTCATCTTCTTCTTCTCTTTTATTTTCTTCTTCATCTTCTTTGTCCTCATTTCCCTTCTCTTTTTCCTCTTCATCCTCTTCTTTTTCCTTGTCATGTGATTCTTGTCCACCCATCTCCTTTTCTGATTGAGCTTCTTGCTCTTCTTCTTCATTTCTATCATCTTATGATTCAGATCCTTCTTCTTCATTTCTGTCATCTTCTTCCTCATCCTCTGAATCACTTCCTTTCTCAACTTTTTCCTCTTTTGCTTCAGATTCTTCTTCCTCATCTTTGTCCTCTTCACTTACATTGCCACTACCCTCCATTAGTCTTGACTGAAGGGCCATCATTTCCTCCCCCAGCATAGACACTAATCGAGTATATGTCTTTTTGATCTCCTATACAAATAAAATTCAGAACAGTAAGCAATAGTAGAAAAACAAAAAATTAATCATTAAGCCCACAAGTCCACATACCGGGTGAGTTAAATTTGCAGGATCAAATTTGGTGGATTGCTTTGCCGAATGCAAGAGTCCTCGATTGCTTTCCTTCTCCTCCTTAACTCTTTGCTGCACTTTCTTTTCATCCCAATATGCAACAGCATCCTTTACATGTGCAGCTTTTGTTTCTCCCAATGGAAAATTTTGTAGACAATATAACTGCATGTGACATGAATGATAAGTTAACAGCAACCATTGACAACATTCAGACCATTAAATGACAACAGAAATATACAAATTATTGTAGCACTTACCATTAGGAAGTATAGACAACCTGGCACATTCTTCTTCTTCTCAGTCAACTTGCCTTTTTCCAATTGTTTCTTGTACACTCCAATCCCCTTATATAGTTCATGCAACACATAAGAGGACCAATCAAACTTATCCAATCTATCCTTTGTTGATAGTATTACCTTCAACAAATAATCACCGACACAAATACTTGCATTAGGACATAACAATGTTCCCAATGCATACATGACAAACAGCACCTCAAAATTTTCATCTTGGTTCTCCTCACTCAACAATGATGCTATCTTCTTGTATGGAATATTGCCATACACACTCCTCCACTGCTTGAACACTTCATCTTCATTATTCACAACTACTTTAATCTCTTCTCCATCAAATGGTAGCCCCAAAAATTCATGCACATCTTTTGTCCTCATTTCCCTTCTCTTCCCTCTTATTGAAATGTTTTTTGATGCAAGATCCAATGCAGACATAAACTCTCCACACAATTCTCTTTGAATTGTGTGGCAACATACTTCCACCAACTTGTCAAAACCTATCTTCTTCAGCCCGTCCATTAGATCCTTCCTTTCTTTGATTATCTTGCAAACTTGCATAAATTGTTTTGGTGCACATCTAGTGTAGAAAGGAACTATATACTTCTTGGACTTTGTGGGAGCTCTTTGTTCCTTAGCTCTTTTACAATACTCCTCTTTTTGCTGTTTAGATAATTTGTCCCAAGCATTTCTCACATGTTCATTCCTAGATTCAAGTGATTTGTATTTCCTTGAGCCTTTCCTATGGAATTCCTCTGTGAATAAGGCATACCCAGAAAAATTACAGCTTCTTTGTTGTGCACTTTTGTTGGTTCCATCCTTCCTCATCTTCTTAACCTGCAAAACAAGACCAATGCATTGAACTTCAATTATTTTTGAATTCCTAGTAAACTTTTGCAGAGATGCAGAGCTTCCTAGATATAGAAAAGAAAATTGATTTAAAAGCACTACGAAATAAAGAAAAAAAGCAAGACTTAATCTTTTACTGTGAATAACTTCTCAGTCCATAATCCATAGACACCAGTTTATGGCAAGTAATGCACATATTTGTAAATATCTACTTTACCTTTTCTTTCTAAATCCTTTCAACAAGCCAACAAGAAATCCACTTGATTAGTGCATAATGCCTAAGCTTGACTAACACCCCAGGGCCCAGCCCATCAAATTCAAACAATAGTGCATAGACAAATGGATAATAAATAAGTAATAAACCTTAGGAACACAGCTTAACTGTGTGATTAATTTTAATATCTCAATCACACGCATCTCTAATTACTGACTTAATGTAGCCAAGAAAAGATCACTTATCTACCTAATTGCTGACTTAGAGAGACACCACAAAACAAATATACTGACAAACTAAATGACAACCTAGCACACAATATGGACTATAACGCACAATAAGAATGCTAACCTTTATCAGTGGGACAAGAGGAAGTTGAATGGATGTTGGATAACAACCCAGATTTGCGACTAAGCGTGCATTTTTTATTTCTTCCCTCAAAATCTCTGTCAATCCATATACAACTTCTTTCTAGATACAAAAAATAAAATATCGCTTAGCATGGAAAAATAAGACGAGTGATGGCCATTAAATTTAGACTTTCCAATATCACTACTCTGGGGAAAATTTAACAGCAAACCTTAAACATTTGGATATTGAAAAAAATAAAAAAATTTAACATCAATGATTCCAACCTCCGACGATGCTTTCAGACTTCAGTTTCGGTCTTCACTACAATGATTCCGACCTCCAACAACGAGGATGATTCCAACCTCGGTTTCGGTCTTCACTACAAGGAGACGCCAGCACTTCACTTCAAACACCAGGACGGCCTCCACTTCACTTTGCTCCGCTTCACTTCCAAAACCGGGACTTCGCTCCGCTTCACTTTACTTCGCTCCGCCAAAACAGAGCCACCACGACAGGCTTTCAAGGACTTCGGTCACGATTTCCGGTGGGTTGTGAGTAGATTTGAAGCAGCACGGTGGGTTGTGGCCGGATTCTCAGCACAAAGGATTTCAGACAGGACGAAGGCGCCAGACGATTTCTTCGGTCGAGGTTTCAAATTCAGTCTCAGCAATTTCGAATGGTCCGTCCAAAAAAATTTCGAATGGGAAATCATGAGTAAGGGCAAATAAGTCATTTGAAGATTCTAAAAATTGCATCCAAGTCCCTTTGGGACTTCAAAAAAATTATCAGATTTCAGGGGACCAATTTGATGTATTTTGTTCTCCATGGGACCTCAATGTCATTTTCCCATGATTATATGCTCCATGATATGATGACATGGATACAAAATGGTTATGGCATGGCATAAAGACTAGCAATGTTATTTTACTGCATGTAGCATGACATCTTATACATGTTGACCTGATGGTTGTATGTTCAATGCTACTGGGATTTCTATGAAATCTCATTCCTCCTATAACATGATATCCTAGGTGCCACTACTTCCAAGGAGAAGGGAAAATAAGTAATCATGGCTTGAGGAAATTATGATCCATGTATTGTATTATATGGTTTTAAACCTTTCTCTTCCAAGCCATGTAAGCATATTTTGATCATGAACACATAACATGATAGCCTTTTTGGATGTATATTAATGGTAGAGTACCTTTACATGTGATTATGGTATGCTTATAGTGAAAAACGAAATGGTGCTAGA